AAGCCCCCCTCGCCCTCCCTCCACCACCAGCCCACAGACGAGAACTACAATGGTGATCCGGCCCTGGAAAAAATCAAGTTTGACACCCCTGTGCTAGAAATATTTTGAAACACCTAATAACATTCTTATTTTTATCAATCGAGGATTTATTATAAATCCCAGGACCCTCCTTTGTTTAGAAACATTCTTTTCCCAGGATGAAATGCTGGTTTTCTTAACACTGTGTGTTTTTTCCAGAATTGGGATTTGATATAACAGCTTTTTTTTTTTTCCCAGCGCAGGGAAAACATCAGACAGAGGACAAGTCAGTTTCTCTGTCCCCCTCCACCTCTTGGCTAAGCAAATCCCAAACGGTCCTTATTTACGGAAGCACACAAATGCAGTTTCCAAAAAGCAAAAAAAAACAAAACCAAACCTGGGAATTAAACAAACCATCTCAGCAACTTTCCTTGCCAGCTATTCCTGGAAGATCTGAGGTTTGGCAACCCTCTCCTTCGAGATGGGCTGTTTTTAGAGGAAGAAAAAATATATTTTTCAAAAAAATCCTGTGGTTTAGCCCAGTTCCCACAGAGGCAGCCCTGCCAAGGAAACCCTGCTGTTCTTTCTACGCCCGAGTCGTTGCCAAGCTTGGAGAACGTCCCAAAGGCACTTTTTCCAAAAGGCAACTGGACTTACTTAACCTTGTTTTTTTTTTTTTTAAATGTTTTGCTTCTCATCCAAGAAGCTTCTTCCGTTTTTTTCATGCTTCTTGGATGAGAAGCGAAAACATTTTCAAAAGGAAAAGAAAAACCCCAAGAAAGCCCAGGTGGAAAAACATTTTGGAAAAACATTTTGGGGACAACCATGATCTGTGTTGGAAGAAATATCCATCGGATTCAGTTCCAAGTGGGGAGAAAGACATAGAAACATGGAGACTGATTGGAAAGATGGTTTAATGATGAAGCAGAACCATCAAGCAGGTGGCTGAACACATGGACTGGAGACAGAGGGTTATTTATACCCACTCTTGGGGTTTGAATTTGAGCTTCCTGTTCCTGTGCAAGCACATGTATTCTATTGGTTGCTGTCAGACTCCCATGGGGCTATGTGCAAATCCTAAGAGTTTGTCTGAGATATGTTTGGTTGAACCTTGCTGGGTGATACAATGTCAGTGGTGGGCTGCCAGTTCAGGCGAACCCGTAGCTAACCAGTAGCTAATTTTATGGCCGGTTCAATGAACCGGCAAATCCCACCCCTGGCTGGCCCCGCCCACACACCCCCTCCCCTCCCAGGAGTTTCCATATGTCCTGTTTTGGATCCCAGGTAAATACAGGGGCTGTGCGGAGGCTCAGGGAGGGCAAAAAACAGGTCTCCCAGAGGCTCTGGGGGGCCAGAAACGGACTCAGAAATGGTGTAGGGCCTCCTGCTTGGGTGGGGGGTTAGACTAGATGACCTACAAGATCCCTTCCAATTCTGTTAATCTGTATCTACATGGGGGGAGGGTTTTGACCCCCCCCCCACGAGAGCGACGGTTATCCTTCCCCTCCGCCCTTCTTGTGACTCATGTAAACAACTGCAGGGGAAAAAACTCGATCTCAACCCCCTCAAAAGGCGGTTTTGTTTTATATGGGCCAGAGTGCAAATGCTGTGGTATGCCAGTGTGTGCTGCGCATTGCATTCCCGAGCTGCATCCAGGGTTATTCCAGAACATTGAAGGGGAGGGACAGCCCCAGGATTGCCAGAGGTTTGCGTTGCAGCGAGCTGGAAAGCACACCCATGCTCCAAGGCAGCCAGAGAGGGAGGGTGGAAGAGTTGCATGGGGATGGAAGAAATGTTTTTCAGCCTGGGCGACTTTAAGAGGGGTGGACTTCCACTCCCAGAATCCCCCAGCCTGCATGCTTTAAGAGGGGTGGGCTTCCTCTCCCAGAAT